AAGGGAGAAAAAGTTAGCATATGAGAAGTTTTTACAAAGTAGAAGTGATGCAAGGAGGGAAGAGTATATGGAGAAAGAGAGAGAGGTTAAGAGAGTGGTGAAGCAATGTAAAACGAGAGCAAATGAGAGAGTGGGTGAGATGTTATCAACAAATTTTGTTGAAAATAAGAAAAAATTTTGGAGTGAGATTAACAAGTTAAGGAAGCCTAGAGAACAAATGGATTTGTCAGTTAAAAATAGGAGAGGAGAGTTACTAAATAGAGAGTTAGAGGTATTGGGAAGATGGAAGGAATATTTTGAGGAATTGTTAAATGTTGATGAAGATAGGGAAGCTTGTAGGAGTGAGGAAGAGCCAGCTGTGAGTGTGGGGAAAGTTCGTGAGACAGTAGGTAAAAATGAAAGGGGGTAAGGCAGCTGGGCTTGATGGGATAAAGATAGAAATGTTAAAAGCAGGTGGGGATATAGTTTTGGAGTGGTTGGTGCAATTATTTAATAAATGTATGGAAGAGGGTAAGGTACCTAGGGATTGGCAGAGAGCATGCATAGTTCCTTTGTATAAAGGCAAAGGGGACAAAAGAGAGTGCAAAAATTATAGGGGGATAAGTCTGTTGAGTATACCTGGTAAAGTGTATGGTAGGGGTTATTATTGAAAGAATTAAGAGTAAGATGGAGAATAGGATAGCAGATGAACAAGGAGGCTTTAGGAAAGGTAGGGGGTGTGTGGACCAGGTGTTTACAGTGAAACATATAAGTGAACAGTATTTAGATAAGGCTAAAGAGGTTTTTGTAGCATTTATGGATTTGGAAAAGGCATATGACAGGGTGGATAGGGGGGCAATGTGGCAGATGTTGCAGGTGTATGGTGTAGGAGGTAGGTTACTGAAAGCAGTGAAGAGTTTTTACGAGGATAGTGAGGCTCAAGTTAGAGTACGTAGGAAAGAGGGAGATTATTTCCCAGTAAAAGTAGGCCTTAGACAATGATGTGTGATGTCACCGTGGTTGTTTAATATATTTATAGATGGAGTTGTAAGAGAAGTAAATGCGAGGGTCTTGGCAAGAGGCGTGGAGTTAAAAGATAAAGAATCGCACATAAAGTGAGAGTTGTCACAGTTGCTCTTTGCTGATGACACTGTGCTCTTGGGAGATTCTGAAGAGAAGTTGCAGAGGTTGGTGGATGAATTTGGTAGGGTATGCAAAAGAAGAAAATTAAAAGTGAATACAGGAAAGAGTAAGGTTATGAGGATAACAAAAAGATTAGGTGATGAAAGATTGGATATCAGATTGGAGGGAGAGTATGGAGGAGGTGAATGTATTCAGATATTTGGGAGTAGATGTGTCAGCGGATGGGTCTATGAAAGATGAGGTGAATCATAGCATTGATGAGGGGAAAAGGGTGAGCGGTGCACTTAGGAGTCTGTGGAGACAAAGAACTTTGTCCTTGGAGGCAAAGAGGGGAATGTATGAGAGTATAGTTTTACCAACGCTCTTATATGGGTGTGAAGCATGGGTGATGAATGTTGCAGCGAAGAGAAGGCTGGAGGCAGTGGAGATGTCATGTCTGAAGGCAATGTGTGGTGTGAATATAATGCAGAGAATTCGTAGTTTGGAAGTCAGGAGGAGGTGCGGGATTACCAAAACTGTTGTCCAGAGGGTTGAGGAAGGGTTGTTGAGGTGGTTCGGACATGTAGAGAGAATGGAGTGAAACAGAATGACTTCAAGAGTGTATCAGTCTGTAGTGGAAGGAAGGTGGGGTAGGGGTCGGCCTAGGAAAGGTTGGAGGGAGGGGGTAAAGGAGGTTTTGTGTGCGAGGGGCTTGGACTTCCAGCGGGCATGCGTGAGCGTGTTTGATAGGAGTGAATGGAGACAAATGGTTTTTAATACTTGACGTGCTGTTGGAGTGTGAGCAGAGTAACATTTATGAAGGGATTCAGGGAAACCGGCAGGCCGGACTTGAGTCCTGGAGATGGGAAGTACAGTGCCTGCACTCTGAAGGAGGGGTGTTAATGTTGCAGTTTAAAAACTGTAGTGTAAAGCACCCTTCTGGCAAGACAGTGATGGAGTGAATGATGGTGAAAGTTTTTCTTTTTCGGGCCACCCTGCCTTGGTGAGAATCGGCCAGTGTGTTAATAAATTAATAAATAAAAAAAAAAGAAAAAAATTTGGAGTGAGATAAACAGGTAAAGAAAGCCTAGGGAACGAATGAATTTGTCAGTTAAAGACAGAGTAGGGGAGTAGTAGATGGGGAGCCGGAGATACTGGGTAGATGCCAGGAATATTTTGAGGAACGTTTAGATGTTGAAGAAGAAAGGGAGGCAGTAATTTCATGCACTGGCCAGGGAGGTATAGCAGCATCTTTTAGGAGTGAAGAAGAGCAGGATGTGAATGTGGGGAAGGTGCATGAGGCATTATGTAAAATGAAAGGGGGTAAAGCAGCTGGAACTGATGGGATTATGACAAATTTTAAAAGCAGGAGGGGATATAGTGTTAGACTGATTGTTATTTTTGTTTAAAAATGTATGAAAGAGGGGAAGGTGCCTAGGAATTGGCAGAGAGTGTGTACAGTTCATTTACATAAAGGGAAGGGGGACAAAAGAGACTGTAAAAATTATAGGGGAATAAGTTTACTGAGTTCTCCATAGGGAAGTGGAACAGAATTCTCCCTCCGAAAGCCATGCGTGTCGTAAGAGGAGACTAAAATGCCAGGAGCAAGGGGCTAGTAACCCCTTCTCTTGTATATATTACTAAATTTAAAAGGAGAAACTTTTGTTTTTCCTTTTGGGCCACCCCCACCTCAGTGGGATATGGCTGGTATGTTGAAAGAAAAAAGTTTGCTGAGTATACCAGGTAAAGTGTACAGTAGGGTTAATATTGAAAGAATTAGAGGTAAGATAGAGAGCAAGACTGCAGATGAATGAGGAGGCTTTAGAATGGGTAGATATGTAGATCAAGTGTTTACACTGAATCATATATGTGAACAATATTTAGATAAAGGTAGGGAAGTTTTCATCCCATTTATGGATTTAAAAAAGGCATATGATAGAGTAAATGTGGGAGCAATATGGCAGATGTTCCAGGTGTAAGGATAAGTAGTAAGTTACTAAATGCTGTAAAGAGTTTTTATGAGGATAGTGAGGCTCAGGTTAGGGTGTGTAGGTGAGAGGGAGATTACTTCCCAGTAAAAGTAGGCCTTAGACAGGGATGTGTAATGTCACCATGGTTGTTTAACATATTTACAGATGGGGTTGCAAAAGAAGTAAATGCTAGGGTGTTGGGGAGAGGGGTGGGACTAAATTATGGGGAATCAAATACAATATGAGTTGACACAGTTACTTTTTGCTGATGATATTGTGTCTTTGGGAGATTCTAAAGAAAAGTTGCAAGGTTAGTGGATGAGTTTGGGAGGGTGTGTAAAGGTTGAAAGTTGAAAGTGAACATAGGTAAGAGTAAGGTGATAAGGGTATCAAACGATTTAGATATAGAAAAATTGAATATCACATTGGAGGGAGGGAGTATGGAAGAAGTGAATGTTTTCAGATACAGTACAGTATTTGGGAGTAGACTCGCCAGCAGATGGGTTTATGAAGGATGAGGTTAACCATAGAGTTGAAGGAAAAAAGATGAGTGGTGCTTTGAGGTATCTGTGGAAACAAAAAGCATTATCCATGGAGGCAAAGAAGGGAATGTATATGATGAGAGTATAGTGGTACCAATTCTCTTATATGGGTGTGAAGCATGGGTTGTAAATGCTGCAGCAAGGAGGAGGCTGGAGGCAGTGGAGAGGTCATGTCTAAGGGTAATGTGTGGTGCAAATATTATGCAGAGAATTCGCAGTGTGGAAATTAGAAGGTGTGGAGTTACTAAAAATATTAGTCAGAGGGCTGAAGAGGGGTTATTGAGGTGGTTTGGTCATTTAGAGAAGATGGAACAAAGTAGAATGATTTGGAGTGCATATAAATCTGTAATGGAAAGAAGACAGGGTAGGGATCGTCCTAGGAAAGACTGGAGGGAGGGGTAAAGGAGGTTTAGTGGGCGAGGGGCTTGGACTTCCAGCAAGCGTGTGTGAGCATGTTAGATAGAAGTGAATGGAGACAAATAGTTTTTAGGACCTGATGAGCTGTTGGAGTGTGAGCAGGGTAATATTTTGTGAGGGATTCAGGGAAACTGGTTAGCTGGACTTGAGTCCTGAAGGTGGGAAGTACAATGCCTGCACTTTAAAGGAGGGGTTTGGGATATTGGCTGTTTGGAGTGACATCTAAACTGTCGTATCTGAGCGCCTCTGTGAAGGCAGCAATTATGTATGAGTGATGGTGAAAGTGCTAAATGACGATGAAAGTTTTTTCTTTCTTTTTGGGTCACCCTGCCTCAGTAAGAAATGGCTGACATGTTAAAAAAAAAAAAAAAAAAAAAATAAAAATAATAATAATCTGAAATATTAAAGGAGGCACTAGTCAGAAAAATAGCAAATATTGAACTTTAACTGAAGGAATCATACAGGAAACAAACACAGGAAGAATTTAAAGCTATATATGAAATTGAAAAATAAACTTTTCTTATGCCAAATTTAGGGCAAAAATAACATCCAGTTTTGGGCCCTTGCTTAAGTGAGATAGGACTTACAGAGATGACAGCAAAAAAATGGGTGAGTTACTGAAGTCCCAATATGACTCGTGTTAAGTGAGCTGTTAATCAGACTAAGGGTTGAAAGTCTAAATTAACTGTTTATGATAGACTCAAAATTTGATTAATCCAAAAAATTTCAGATATTCTAACACCACAAGACTTTGAAAAAGCAATAAATGACATGCCCATGCACTCTGCCCCAGGCCCAGACTCTTGGAATGCTGTGTTCATCAAGAACTGCAAGAAGCCCCTTTCACATGCCTGAAGTATTCTAAGGAGAGGGAGCATGGACACAGGGTTCATCCCACAGCCACTAAAAATAACAAACATAGCCCCACTCCACAAAGGTGGCAGTAAAGCAACTGCAAAGAATTACACACCGATAATGTTAACATCTCACATTGTAAAAATCACATCACCAGCCACTTAGATACCCATCAGTTGCACAATCCAGGGCAACATGGGTTTAGAGCAGGTCACTCCTGCCTGTCACAACTACTGGACCACTATGACATGGTCTTGGATGCTCTGGAAGACAAAGTGCTGATGTAGCATACGCAGATTCTGCAAAAGCCTTCGACATGTGCAATCATTGTGCAATAGCACACAACATGCATGATAAAGAAATAACAGGAAAAGTTAGTAGATGGATTTATAACTTTCTAACAAACAAAACACAAAGTAATAGTAAACATAGTAAAATCAGAGGAGGTTACAGAGAAAAGTTCTGTTCCACAAGATACAATAGTCGCTCCCATCCTGTTCCTCTTCCTCATATCTGACAGAGACAGATGTAAGCCACAGCACTGTGTCTTCCTTTGTGGGTGACACCCAAATTTGCATGACATGTCATCCATCAAAGACACTGCAAGTCTTCAAGCAGACAACATCCATACCAAATCAACATAAAATCTGGGCCAAGACGTAATAACGTGTAAAAGCATGGCCCCACTAGCACTGGAAGAACTAACTTTTAATAATGTCTGGGGGCCAAGACGTTATAACTGCCTTGAAGCATTCATTAAGGGGGATTAACCTAATAGACCCCTGGCAACTTCAAGGAACCTCCCTTTGGGAAGGGGATCACCTAATGTCATTACCTGACCAGCTGGGCTGTGGTTCATATACTGATTTACATGTGGCCAGCATTAACAGTCTGGTTGGTTAGGCCCTGATCCACCACAAGGCCTGGTCCATGACCAGGCAGGGGCGGTGACCCTCAAAACCCTCTCCAGGTATACTTCGAGTAATACTAATAAATTATTAATAATAAATTAATAATAATAATATCTTTATTTACTACCAGTACATGTACAAGGTATACAGACCATAGCTGACATCAGTAACATACTACTATATAGAAAGCCGGTCGTTATGCAGAGCATTTCGGTCATATTAGGTAAGTTTTGTCCCAGGATTGCGACCCATACCAGTCCACAGGGTACCGTGGACTAGTGTGGGTGGCACAGGGCACATTATTATTATTATTATTATTATTATAATCAAAACGAAGCGCTAAGCCACAAGGGCTATACAGCGCTAGCACAGGGCACAGTGTCCACAGGGCACCGTGGGCACTGTCAGGAGGTTTCTTCAGTCGACAACAGAGGCTCAATTTGAAGACTGAAGCAACGGAGAGGTGAGGATAAGCTGATCAAGCCAACAACTTTGAAGAACTCTTTAGCTCAATAGTCTTGACTACATAACTGCACACTTCTCAATTATTATATAAAAAAAAGAAATGCTAAACTCGAACACTTCTCATGGCTAAGAGACTGATCACATCAAAAATTTCTTGAATGTTGACAACTGTTATGAGATTCATTGATCGCCTCATCTCTTCCTCTCCACTGCTGCTACCTGCTGAACAGGTGAAAAGTCTCGACAGTAGAGATACCCAGCTGTTGTACATGCTGGGTAACTTTACTATATAGACGAGTGTACGAGTGAGTGTAAGTTCGTCCTGACTAGAGTGGGTTCTTTTTTTGTTGTTGTTGGGTTCATCAAGGTCATTGACAGCTCAAGCAGTATCGAACCCGACTTCCCGATGTACGAGGAAGATTTGTTGCTCAAAGCTGGACGACGGAAGAAAAACGAACAAGAGTTCCTTTGTAAATAGAAAAAGGAACTCGAAGTTCCCAGTTACATCAAGTGGACCTCCTTGCCAAGCACTAGCAAAGCCAAATGCCCACACCCTCACCAGACAACAAAATCTAACTGACATCCTCGTGTCCGCTAAAACTATCATCAAAAATTCATTGTGTCGACAGCCTTAAATCTGGAATTCTACTACGCTCATCTCAGCCATCTCATCCTGCAAAACTACGTTAGGGAAAAGTTCGACTCGTGATACCCCAGTCACTATACATGAAACTACTACAATCGTATGGACGATTGCAAAAACTTCCCGAGCGGGATTTGGTCTTGTGTTTGGTTTCTAACTTTTGACAGCGGTTCAACCCCGTTAGATTTACAAGAAAATGTTGTTGTAAAGCAGCAAAGAAACGAAAGGATTCTTTATATGAAACGTAACCGAATTCCTTTCAGTCGAGTGGACCACTTGAAAAGAATACTAAGACGAAATCAGTCCATCACCCTTAAGTTTTAAGATCTCATGATCCTATCTGGTCGACTAAATCCGTTCTAACAATATTGTTTCAAGCACAATATGTGGAACAACCGAACATAAGCTTTAGAATTGAGACTCCACTTCAAAACTTTAACGTTGATAGACTGATTCCTGACTATCAAGTATCATCTACTTCTATAAAATTTTGACTCGACTGAAGGCCTACTGTGTAGCGAAAACGTTGACCAAGGGATATCTGAACGAGTTGGTTATGAACCTGACTGCGGGTTCTATCCCTTTATAGTTTAAACACCGGTGGTTCACACTTACCTCACTCACCACCCATTTGACTATCAGACAGAAATACGTATCTTAATCTTAAAATAATGATTCCTAACTAGTCATAAGTTTGCCTGTGATACTCCAATATAGAAACTATGTATTGTGCCAAAACAAAAGCATTCACATTGCTAAACTCACAAACCAGTATTTAGTCACTTAGTATTTAGTCAACTTAATGCACAATTTGTAATAATTTAGGGTTAAAAATTAATCTAAGTTTGCCCGAAATACCTAGCCTTGCTAGGTGTTCTAGTGGCCCCCTATGTAATTAGTATTTTATTACATGTAAACCACACAATAACCAAAATCTGTAAACCCCGCATTGTAATCCTTATAGATAATAAACTTTGATTGATTGATTGTCCTAGGTTCAGTAACCGGCTTCCCATCAAAACCGTTAAAAAGGTATCAGCAGAGCAGAAAAAAGGAGCTGGCTCAAAGCCGATGACCAGGTGCCCCTCCTGTAATGTGCCTGGCAGGCAAAGTAGATGAGGACAAGCGTCCCAGAGAGAGAGAGAGAGGAGGGGAGGGGGAAATTTGTTACTGCTCAGGCGAGAGGAAGACGTCCACACCCGACGAAAGCTGGCGCAAAATTACTCTAGCATGGGTCAAGTGAGCTGGTGTTGTTAAGGGCCACCGGACTTACCACTACTACTTTCTCTTCCTCGTTCTCTCTCGTCCGTGCCACTATATACTGGCTCACTCATTCTCTTGTCAATATATTATACCAAATGGTTATGCTCATTACCATATTTTTTTAAAGGGATGGAGGGGTAAGCCAGTGGAAGGCCTCGGTCAAATAACCAAAACCTCCAGCTGTGGGTCATCATATAACTAAGACCCGCATCAGGAAACACTTGTCCTGTTTCCATCTTTTCTGTCTGTGACTTGTGAATGGTCCAAGTCGGATCGAAACGTCGCCATAAGCTTTTCTCTCTCATATGTTGTTTTTGTGTGTGTGTATTAATGAGTCCTACCACAGTTCCCGGGGGTTTGGGGAATTGTTTTTTTTACAACAGTAAGTCTTTATTTTTACAAGTCATGCCCCCCTTTGGGGGAGGTTCCTTGACTTTAAATAGGGCTCTTAAAATCTAGGAAATTGGAGTGTGCTCCTGTTCCCCGAATGACCTGAATCCCTTCCACCCCCCCCCCAAAGGCGCTTTAATCCCTACGGTTTTACCCGCTCCCATAATAATAATAATAAAAAAGTACATGTACAAGTATACCCCATAGCTGACAGAAATGGCATACAATTAATAGAAAATCCCTTGTTATGCAGATCTTTTCGGGCAAATTCAAAACTTTTGCCCAGGATGCGACCCACACCAGTCGACAAACACGGGTTTCCCTATTTTATATAGGTGAACAGTTCTCAGTGAGGGACATAGTGTTCTTGGCAGTAATACCAATCCCATTAGTTTTATATTGTCAAAAAATTTGTCCCCCCCAAAAATTCAAACCCCAACATTTTTTGATTGCACTGTTGATTAACGACCTTTCTCCTCTAGTCAAAATTTACTATTTAATATCTAAGAATCTATCCCTTTTTTTACAACTTACCACATCACGTTCCACTTATTTTTTTAAACAAACCCATAATTGTTTTCAAAATTTCTACCTCACTTTAAAAAAACTCAATTGCCCAATTTTATTTAAATCCCATTATTGCCCAATTTTATTTAAACTATATTATAAAACTTATTGAAAACTTCTTTTTTGCCCTTTTTTATTCCATATTTTTTTAAACTAGTTTTTTTCAACTACAACTTTTATATTATTCGTCTACCACTTCTAGCTATTATAAACCAAGTCATTCCATTTTTATTTTTATAATTTTTTTTATTATTTTTTTGCTATTTAATTTGTGTTTTTTATCTGTAAATTTTTTAAATTCTAATTTACCTAATTCTTGTAAACAATATAAAGCCTTTGTGCAATTCAATTGAGAGTCTTGTGCCTTCATTACATTTTAGATTTAAACACAGTTTTTCTTAGCTATTCTAGCTCAATACATAGTCAAAAAACCAAATTTACTAAACTGACCTGTGAATTACGTGAGAGATGGTGCTATTTTTAATTTGTATTTTTTTTATTATTAGACAAACTAGTTGACTATAGCTCCTTTCTATCAATACATATCAATACCAAATTCACTATATTAGACCATAGTGCAATTATAGGAGAGACGGGTGCTATTTTTAATTTGTATTTTTTTTTTTTATTAATTAATTCAGTTGTACCATAGTCTTTTAACTCAAAAAAAGCAAAACCAAAGTCACTTTTAGACCAAGGGGAATTACTGGAGGAAGTGCTTTTTTTTTGAAATTTTTTTTTTTAAATTAAATTTGTCTTAAATATTTAGTCAAAAAATGCTTTTTAAAAATATTATTAGAAGTGAATTTCAATAGACTTTTTTTTAATTTGTTTTTTAAACCTTTTTTAATAGGTCTTAGTCTTTTAGCCAAACATAGAAACACAACTTATTAGTTAGTGCAATTCAGGAAAACCTTGCTATTATTTTAAAATTTAATACAGTACAGTTTTCTAGACTCCACACACCAGGAAAATTAACTAATTTTAAATGGGTGTTAGTTGACCTACAAAATCCTAATTTCCCCCAAAAAATAGGAAAAAACTGCCAAACCCACCAAACCCCGATTTCAATCTAAACTTTAACAAAACAACTCGGTTTTAAAAACATAATTTAAACCCCGAATACTGCACCCTTCCCTGAATTTTTAAACCTCTTAACGGGCACAAAAAACAAAAACCCTTAAGGTAAAAGCAATTACAAGCAACCAAACCAGGGGGGGGGAATCCTAACTCTAAAATTACGCTTACACCACTTCAGGGGTTTAGGGGGAAACATTTTTTATTTTCTGAAAACCCTTTAACCCTAAACAACCCCCCCCCACCTCCCAAAATTTTTGGGGGAAATTTGCCCCTTAAAACAACAAATGAAAAAGAAAAACTTCCACTGGGACCAAACCTTGGTTTATGATCAGCCCTGTAAAATGATTTTTATCAACAATTTGAAAAACACAAACTTTATACCAACAATAACTAAAAACCCCAACCAGGTCATGAAAAAAAAAAAATTTTTTTTTTTTTTTTTTTTTTTTCACACCGGCCGATTCCCACCAAGGCAGGGTGGCCCGAAAAAGAAAAACTTTCACCATCATTCACATCCATCACTGTCTTGCCAGAAGGGTGCTTTACACTACAGTTTTTAAACTGCAACATTAACACCCCTCCTTCAGAGTGCAGGCACTGTACTTCCCATCTCCAGAACTCAAGTCGGCCTGCCGGTTTCCCTGAATCCCTTCATAAATGTTACTTTGCTCACACTCCAACAGCACGTCAAGTATTAAAAAACCATTTGTCTCCATTCACTCCTATCAAACACGCTCACGCATGCCTGCTGGAAGTCCAAGCCCTCGCACACAAAACCTCCTTTACCCCCTCCCTCCAACCCTTCCTAGGCCGACCCCTACCCCGCCTTCCTTCCACTACAGACTGATACACTCTTGAAGTCATTCTGTTTCGCTCCATTCTCTCTACATGTCCGAACCACCTCAACAACCCTTCCTCAGCCCTCTGGACAACAGTTTTGGTAATCCCGCACCTCCTCCTAACTTCCAAACTACGAATTTCTGCATTATATTCACACACACATTGCCCTCAGACATGACATCTCCACTGCCTCCAGCCTTCTCCTCGCTGCAACATTCATCACCCACGCTTCACACCCATATAAGAGCGTTGGTAAAACTATACTCTCATACATTCCCTCTTTGCCTCCAAGGACAAAGTTCTTTGTCTCCACAGACTCCTAAGTGCACCACTCACTCTTTTTCCCTCATCAATTCTATGATTCACCTCATCTTTCATAGACCCATCCGCTGACACGTCCACTCCCAAATATCTGAATACGTTCACCTCCTCCATACTCTCTCCCTCCAATCTGATATTCAATCTTTCATCACCTAATCTTTTTGTTATCCTCATAACCTTACTCTTTCCTGTATTCACCTTTAATTTTCTTCTTTTGCACACCC